CTATATTATTTCAGATTCTTTATTCTGTTGAATTTTATTATGTATGCCATAAATTTATACTTTTTATTTACTACTTTTATTATGTTAAAGTAAATTTGTTTAATCTCAAACATGAGGACTGTCATATCGGCATGACTCATATAAAATGCACGTTCATAAATTGTAACAAAAATAATTTTTATGTTTATAAAATTTTTTTAACTCTCTACACGTTTAACTTGTTGTTAGTTTGTGGTTTGCATTCCTTTAGTTTTTTTTCCCCTCTTATTTAAACAATACTCCATATCTTTCATATTAAATGTTTTCATTACAAAAATTTTGTATCAAATTATTTATCATTTTAATACACTGATATATTAGCTTAATAGTCTGTTCAGTAGCGGATGTCATAAAATCCGTTATAACATCAACGGTCTATTAGCTTTGTAATTCTGTTAGTTAGTTAAAGTTAGTTAAGTTTGTTAGTTAGTTGGATTGTTATAAAAGTCAATGTTATGTGGTGTACAATGTAATGCAATTACTGCAAGTTTCATACAATTCAGTTTTCATCATTTCATCTCTTTTCTTTCGTATCTAATCACAACTATCATCATCAATCTCACCTCATTTCTTGATGCATCATTGCATGATTGTTCTATCAAATTGGTATAACAGAGTCTGGTTCCATAATTGTTGCAAGAAGACACTCGAAGAATGGGAAATCATGGCAACAACATCTCTACACAGTTACCAGTGTTTGAAGGTAAAACGTTCGATCAATGGATTGTGAAGATGAAGGTAATTTTCAAGTTTCAAAAGGTTCTTGAAGTGGTGAATGAAGGAGTACCAACCTTAACAGCCAATGCAACAGAAGAACAACAAGTTGCGCACAAAGACCTAAAGAAGAAGGATGGGAAAGTCATGTTCTTGATACATCAAAGTGTGAGCAATGAGATCTTTGAGAAGATCATGCACTATGAAAGTGCAAAAGAAACATGGGATGCGATGGACAAATTGTATGCTGGTGATGGAAAGCTAAAGAAGGTGAGACTTCAAGCATTGAGGAGGCAGTATGAAGTGCTGACAATGGAAGAAGAAGAAACCATCAGCCAATACCTGGACAAAGTAATCACTCTCACAAACCAGATGAAAAGGAATGGTGAAAACTTCACTGATGTGATGAAGGTAGAAAAGGTTCTCAGAACTTTAACACCAAGGTTTGATCACATTGTAGTTGCATTGGAGAAGTTAAAGGATCTAGACTCCATGAATATTGAAGAATTGCAGGCAAGCCTATAAGCACATGAACTGAGGTTAACAGACAGAATCAAAGAAAGAGGAAAAGTTGCATTTGTGGATCAAGCATTGCAGGCTCAGTATGTGAAGAAAGGAAAGTCCAAGAAGGAGATTCAGTGTTATAATTGCCAAAAATGGGGAAATTATGCATCTGAATGCAGATCAAAGAGAGTACCAAGGAACAAAGATGAGGCTCAGTTTGCTCAGAATGAAGGATTAGACTCAGATGAAGTGTTGTTTATGGTAACAGTAAAGGATGAAGAAGAAAGAAGTGATGAATGGTATCTAGATACAGGGTGTTCCAATCACATGACAGGCAAGAAGTCTTGGTTTTCTGAACTAGATGAATCAGTAAACAGAAGTATTAGATTTGCAGACAATAGCATAGTATGTGCAGCTGAGATTAGAAAGATCTTGATCAATAGGAAGGATGGCAAGAAGGCTTGTATTACTGATGTGCTATATGTGCCAAACATGAAGAGAAATCTAATTAGTATTGGCTAGCTATTACATAAGGGATATACCATGAGAATGGAGGCAAAAGCTATGAATATCTTTGATCACAAGAACAGGCTGATCATTAAAGCCCCACTATCAAAGCAAAGAACCTTCAAAATTAATATGAATGTGATTGAAGATATGGGAACATCAACTTTAGAGATCTGGATATGCTGAATGAAAGGAAGATGGTGCAAGGCCTACCAAAACTAAAAGTGCCAGAAGAAGTATGTGAAGTATGTTGCACTGGAAAGCAAGCCAAAAGCTCATACAAAGCAGAGGTGCCATTCAAAGCAACCAGGAAACTAGAGGTAATTCACTCAGATGTTTGTGGACCTTTTGAAGTAAGGACAGTAGGTGGAAACAGCTATTTTGTGACATTCATAGATGAATTCACTAGGAAATTGTGGATTTACTTGTTGGTTAAGAAAAGTGAAGTGTTAAATGTGTTTAAGAAGTTCAGATTGCTAGTTCAAAATGAAAATGGGGAAGTAATTAGTAGGCTAAGAAGTGATGGAGAAGGTGAATACAACTCTACTGAATTTCATGAGTTTTTCTCATCAAATGACATTAGTCATGAAATCACTTCACCTTATACACCTCAACACAATGGGATATCAGAAAGGAAAGATAGAACCCTAGTAAATATGATAAGGAGTATGTTGAAGCAAAAGAGAATGCCTCATTTCATGTGGGATGAAGCAGCTGCTACTGCAGCATATCTCATAAACAGAAGTCCTACAAAGAAGTTGCAGGACAAGACACCAGAGGAAGCATGGAGTGGAGTCAAACCAAGTGTTCAATATTTAAGGATCTTTGGTTCATTATGTTTCAGACATGTGCCTGATCAACTAAGAAGGAAGTTAGATGATAAATCCCATGTAATGATTATGGTTGGCTATCATCAAACTGGTGCATACAAAATATATAATCCAAATAATAAGAAGATAGTATTCAGCAAAGATGTGAGATTTGATGAATAAAAGGAATGGGATTGGAAAGAAAATGACTCACATAAAGGTAACAATCACTTACCTCTCTTTGACTCAGAGACAGAAGAAGGTGAGATTGAGGAACAAGAAGAAGTTGATGAAGATACAAATGAAGAAGGTGCAGAAGTAATCAATAGACCAACAAGGAATAATCAACCACCAGCCAGGCTGAGGGACTATGAGAGATTCCCTGATCAAACAGTCACAGATGAGGGTGATATAGTGCAATTAGCAATGTTGGCTGAAACTGAACCAGTGTCTTTTGAAGAAGCTTTAAAACAGAAACATTGGAAGATAACCTTGATTGAAGAACTGAGTTCTATAGAAAAGAATGAGACTTGGAATTAGTTAAATTACCTGCTAACAAGAGGTGTATTGATGTCAAGTGGGTTTTTAAGACAAAACTAAGGCCAGATGGGAAAGTGGCAAAATACAAGGCTAGATTAGTAGCAAGAGGATTCCTACAAAGGAATGAACAGGATTATTATGAAGTCTATGCTCCAGTAGCAAGAATGGAAACAATCGGAATGATTATGGCGATAGCAGTTCAAAATGACTGGTCTATGTATCAGCTAGATGTAAAGTCAACCTTTTTGAATGGTGAGCTAGAAGAAGAAGTATATGTGAATCAGCCACCAGGATTTGAGATAGAAGGAAAGGAAGAACATGTTTATAAGCTGAACAAAGCCCTGTATGGGTTGAAGCAAGCCCCAAGGGCTTGGAACAAGAGAATAGACAGTTTTCTTGTTCAACAAGGTTTCATGAAGTGTGTAAATGAACATGGAATTTATAGTAGGAATACCACAGATAATCTCATTGTATGTCTATATGTGGATGACATGATAGTGACTGGAAACAATGAAGCTGAAATGAAGGTTTTCAAGGAAAATATGATGAAGGTATTTGAGATGTTTGACTTGGGCAGACTCACATACTTCCTAGGAATTGAGTTTGACAGAAATGATCAAGGAATGATTATTCATCAAAGGAAATATGCTCAAGATGTGCTAAAAAGGTTTAACATGGTAAACTGCAAGCCAGCTGCAACTCCTGTTGATACAGGGACAAAGTTATCCTTGGAGAATGATGAAGAGGAAGTAAATCCTACTCTGTTCAAACAACTTGTTGGTTCCCTAAGATACTTGTGTCACACAAGACCTGATATTACATATGGTGTAGGGCTGATCAACAGGTACATGGTGAAGCCAACCAGCTCTCCTTTAATCGCAGCCAAGAGGATATTGAGGTATGTGAAAGGTACATACAGGTATGGAACTCAATATTATAAAGATCAAGGAGGTGAGTTGATAGGCTATTCAGATTCAGATTGGAGTGGTGATAAAGATGACAGGAAGAGTACAACAGCATATGTGTTTATGATTGGAAATGCAGTTTTTGCATGGAGCTCAAAGAAGGAACCGGTGGTGGCTTTATCCTCATGTGAAGCTGAGTATATAGCAGCTTCCATGGCAGCCTGTCAAGCTCAGTAGACAAACATGTTATTGACTGAATTAAAGCTGATAAGGAATGGAAGAGTAGAACTCAGAGTTGATAGTAAATCAGCCATAGACTTGACAAAACACCCTGTAGCACATGGTAGAAGCAAGCATATTGAAACCAAATTTCAGGAAAGTTAGAGATGAGCTACTGCAAAACAGATGAGTAATTGGCTGACCTACTCACAAAACCTTTAAAAGCAAGCAGATTTGATGATCTAAGGATGAAGCTAGGCATGATGGAAGCATCTAACTAATCGAATTAAAGAGGTGTATTAGCTTAATAGTCTGTTCAGTAGCGGATGTCATAACATCCGTTATAACATCAACTGTCTATTAGCTTTGTAATTTTGTTAGTTAGTTAAAGTTAGTTAAGCCAGTTTGTTAGTTAGTTGGATTGTTATAAAAGCCAATGTTATGTGGTGTACAATGTAATGCAATTAGTGCAAGTTTCATACAATTCAGTTTTCATCATTTCATCTCTTTTCTTTCGCATCTAATCACAACTATCATCACCAATCTCACCTCATTTCTTGATGCATCATTGCATGATTGTTCTATCATGATATATATCTTTAATTACATGTAGAAGCCTAACAAAAAAAGAAAAACTACACAGTAACTGCAAATTATCTATCATACAAAATGCATCAAACACCAAAGTTTTCCTACAATACCAAAAAAGAACAAGATTCTATATCCTCCCTCCCTTGCAAGCTAACTAGTGTGAAATTTACAATTATCGAGCCTTTGAACCATTCTTGTTGTTACCACACAAAGGACACATAGTTAGTGTTGCTGCTGGAATCTGCATATAAAAGGAGGGTGTTGCTGCCACTATTTGCATTGACTTCAATTCTTGCACCTCTTTTTTCAGTTTCTTGTTCTCTTCTGTTAGAGTTTCGCAACACTTCTTTAGTACTTCAAAATCTGTTTCCGTTTGTTTCACTTTTGTCCTGAACATTTTATTATCAAACAAAAAGAAAAACTAATATCATCTTTCACAAAGGAATTATAAAGAGCTTTATGTAAATTTCATCCTTTATTTTATTAATTTTTTAAAATTATATTGAAAAAAAATTAAACGATATTTATTTTACCACAAATAATAGGAGATGTAAATTACCTGGCTCTCCGATTTTGAAACCACACTTCTACTTGCCTAGCTTGTAGTTTCAGCCTTTCTACTAATGCTTGCTTTTGCTTCTGAAGAAATTAAATGTTTTTTTAATTAACATAAAATAAATATTTTGATATATTCTACAATTTAATTTAAATATGTTCAATTATTTAATATTATGTTTTTAATAAAAATTTTACTTTTAATTGAATTTTGTTTGCAAGATATATTGAATAAAGGTACCTGATTAAGAGTAGAATGCTCTCTGAAATTTTCCTCCAACACTTGTGATTGTTCTTTTGTGAGCCTAAGTTTCTTTCTTGAATTACCATCTTCATCAACATTTCCAATCCTTGTAATCCGAACCTTCTCATTTTCTACCTCAAATTCATCACCAATTTCCTTCTTCATCATGTTCATGGAGTTTGAAAATGAAGACTCTATACTTGGAGAAGTAAGTGAATTTTGAGTTATAGTATTTTCTTCATCATCATCCTTTGATGGTCCTAATGAAAGTGATAGATAATTCTTACTCTCCATTTTCTTCTTGTTTTCTCTCTTTTTATGGCCATCAAAATTCTCATATGAATATTGATCATGAAGGGCTAGACCTAGACCAAGATCAAGATCAAAATCCATGATATATGATATAAAATATTTGAGATGAAAATTATTGGAGTTTGTAAGTTGCAATATTCTTTTGAGAATGTTGCATATATAGTATAATATGAAAGAGAGAGGATGTGAAATTTGAAATGATTGGAATAGAGAGATTTGTAGAATGGTGTGAATGTGTGAATTGGTAAAGAAAAGATTTATGATCAGTAGGATTTAGTGGGGACTAATTGATTTGTTTATTTTTGTAATTATTAAGAGAGAAGCAAAAGAATAAGTAGAATGTAAATGTGGTTAAGTGTTGTGAAAAATATATTTCTCCTTTGTTTTTGGTGGATGGGTTGACTAAGTGAAAGTTAATGAGTCATCCCTTTTTTGAGGTAGAACAAGTTGTGCAAAATAACAAAGAATGATGAAGTGTAATTGGTATATGGGATACGTGGAATCACGTGAAAAGTGGGTAGCACATATATCTCAAGACCTTTTAACCTTTCTCTTTTCACTTTTCTTCATCATTTTTATCTTCTCTCTTATCATTTTTTGTTTTCTTTATTTTTTAATTTTTTACATAATTAGTGTAATTTAATATTTATGGATTTCTAGAAAGAAAAAGAAAACACTATTAGTTTAAGCGGTAAGTATTTCTTTTATGAATTGGGGAATGGGTATTCTCGATGTGCGACTTGAAAAATTAATCTCTTGAAAAATTAATCTCTCGCATAAGAGATGTAATAAGTAATTTAATATATAGTAAATAAATTTTGAACTTATGTCCGTGTATTAGGACCAAATTAATAAATTATTATACTTTTAAAAAAATTACAATGAGATAAGTCTTTTATTTTGTAGGGTTGTCTATGGTGTTTAATGTATTTGGTTGTGTTTAGGTATTGTTCGTGTAGGAATGTGAGATGTTTTATACTTTTTTTTTCGTGCAAAAGATTGAAGATTCTTCCTCACTTCTAAGGCTGAAATATTTATAAGAGTTTTTGTGGGCTGGACAGAAGAGAAAGTTAAGCCCACTTTCTTTACATTTTTCCTCAATTCCTAAGTGAGGAGTGGTTCTTTTACCACTAATATGGAGGATGATTTTTCCACTTCACTTTGAGCATATTTTGGATCATTGCGTGTGTCAAGTCTTTTTCCCACTAAATTGAGAAGGAAACATGGATTGGATTGAGCATTTTAGTCTAAGCCCAACAACACAGATTAGCCTTTCTTTGGGCGACCTATATCCCTACTTTGTGTGGCCTCAAGTCTCATTTAGGGCGGTCTGTCATAATGTGTCGGTCACTCGACCAATGTTGGGAGAGTTAGTTTGTATCACACAATCATGGACCCTCCCTCTTAAGGTCCAGTAAAATTATACCAGTAGACAGTTTCTCAAACACAAAGTTTTGAAAAATGTGAGGTGATTTATGTTAAGTAATGTGCGACCTTTAACTCTCTATGATCAAGATGACCTTAAATGAGAACCCCCCCCCCCCCCCTAAATAGAGCTTGGGAGAGAGACATAAGACTTAAGTTCCTCAAGCGAGATTAAAGAGTCGAATAGGCGATACTTTTGAGTCATGTCCCTTAAGAAACACCTTTGAGTCGAGTCCCTTGGGAGAGACTTCGTAAAGGTAGATCTCTCAAGCAAGAGTTAGATAATCGAGTCCCTCAATAAGACCTTTGAGTCGAGTCCCTCGCGCGAGAATTCATAAAGAAGGGTCTCTTAGGTGAGACTTAAATAGTCGAGTCCCCTAGACGAGTCTTTGTAAAAGCGAGTTTGCTCAACTCTTAGACCATTGCTTTTGTAATATTTGTTTTTGTCACCCTATTAGATTGGTTCTATGACATCTCACTTCAGTGATTTATTAATGAAAATGTTTAGACCTTGTGGGGATTTGCCTTATTTCATTCAGATTTATTTTCTTTGTAATTTCAATTAGTTTCAAGGAATATTCTTTTATGTAGCCCCGACTGAGTAGATTTCCTTCATGTGGTATCCTTTCATAGGGTGAGTTCCTCAAGCATTACTTATGTGAAAGTTAAGTCTGATTTGGTGATGATTCCAAAATAAGTTGCATAATAAGACAGCAAGGTTCCATCAATGTAGGCCGAATGTATAATTACCCCATAAGAAGGCAAGGATCCTTCAATGAATGTCCCACCTACAATTACCCATAGTTGCATATCCCTAATACATTCATGGGGAGTATCCCCAATACAGTAATTTTGTTGTTAGTCTTATCGCTGAAATTCTCATTTACTTTTGTTTGTTGAGTCTCTTTCATAATTGCACATCCTCTATGAATCAAGTTTTTGAAACGATTTATTTTTTAGCATGCATAAACCAATTTTTATATTTTAGTTTTGATCATGATGGTTAAGTCAATTTCCTGAGTTAGTGAAACAAGAACCATAGGTAATATCAACTCAAGTCATGTGAGAAGTGAAATCTGAAACTATTTTGAAAAACATGAAAAATAGAGATGTCTTGCGTGTGATTTGAATCAATCATAAACCATGATTCGAATCAATTAGAACAGAGGAAAAAATTGGGTGTCTGGGTTCCGAATCACATATTGCATCTAATTCGAATCATGCAACTATGTGTTTCGAATCACAGCTTGTGCATGACTCGAATCACAAACTTTCTTGTTACATCTAACATATTTGATTCGAATGAGGCTTAACACACGATTTAAATCATAAACCTTGTGGCTCGAATCATAGTCAAAACACGAGATTTCATTATGAGATCTTGTTTCACACTACTTAATCGTTTTGAATCAAATCATTAAATGCACTTGACTCAAATCTAAATAATTTATTTCCATCCGTTTTTGTGCTTCATCTCAAGCATATATAAAATAATTTTGTCATCTCATATCCAACAACAATTGAAGTGAATCTCATAATCAACATTGTGATTTTTTGTGAAACCAACTCTCTCTCACTTATGAAAGTTAAAAAAACTCTTGCGATCGGTTTTCTTTCCTCTTCAACTTATTTTGATTTCAGATCTTGATCATAAGACATTTGTAATTTGATTGAAGGAGACGATATCTTGAAACTAATCTTTCTTGACGATTGGGTAAATATTTTCAGGTAGCATGCAAGATTGAGGTTATTATCGTTGGTGTTGACAATTCTAGTGAAAAGAAAGAGGTTCTTCTCTCCATTTTGCCTTGGTAGTGACTGTGTGGAAGGGAATGGAAAAGGTAGAGTTCTTCTCAAATCTTCTGACAATTCATCGCTCAAGGAATCAGTAGGATCAACGCTTGGAGCAGTTGGTGATACTGGAAATTTAAGACACATTAATCGAGTATAGATTACACAAGAGTTTGGCATTACACTGTATACAAGTCAAGATCCAGATAGAAGATACTATTTTTCTCAACACTATTGTGGGTCGGTGATTGTATAAACTCTTGCAAATATTTATCAAATAAAAAGGAACAATGCAGGTTCCAATGGGAAACAATTGAAGAGTGCAAGAAGTTAAAGCAAAGACGAACTTCGAAACACTATAATTCTTAGTGTCATCTCTCTCTCATACTCATGCATTTGACTTTTGTATAATTGTCATGCTTACGTATTTCAATTCTATCGTAGTTATCATTTATTCAATTAGTATCGATTTATTACGTAAGCTTAGGTTTTGTTAGAATTGGTACCTAATCGAGCTGAATTGGTGATTAAATATAAGAAACAATTGAGGTTAGAATTCATTAACATTAAACCGTTGTAAAAACACATCTCATGGAATATACAACTGAATCAATCAAATACCTTGTGTATCATCATAAAACCATCTTAGGTGTTTGTGAATTGATTTAGTGTTAACGTGATCATATTTCGAAAAGTATAATTTTCATATTTTTGCTTCTAACCTTCCGCGCACACTTTTGAAAAATATATGATACTCTTTTTAAAAAGCGGTTGATTTTTTTAACAAGGATCTATTCACCCCTTTTTAGACTGTTTTTCTACTTTCTTATTCACACCCAACAGTTACCAGATAATTGGCCATGTCAACTCTGTTTTATAAAATGAGATTGGTTCACACTTCAATTTGAAAATTTAATCCAAGCATGCTTACTAGCCTGTTTTAGTCACCGCAACTCGTAGACCTAATTAATCCTTAGTACTCCATAAAGATAATGATGGTGTAGTGATTTGGAAACACTAAACTCTCCCACCGCTAAACCTGCTGTTTTTTCTTTTTCATTTTGTTGAAATAATACTAACTTTTTGTGATGAATCTCTCTTTCCCATAGCTATCTCTAGAAGTGGCACCGATGTCTTTTTTATCGGCGGTAGTTTGACATGAATTCGACATGAGGCCCATGTCAGTTTTATTAAGCCCCGTGGTGGACGCCAATTGTACTTTCAAAAAAGTACAATGAAGGTAGTTTTGTGGTGTTTAAGGTATTTGGCTATGTTTAGTTCTCAGATTGAGGTGTATAAAAGAGTTTTAGTGGGCTGGACAGAAGAGGAATTTAAGTCCATTTCCTTCGCCTTTCTCCTTTATTCCTTACGGAAGAACGGTTCCTTCCCAACCAATAAGGAGGACAATTTTGCCACCTCACTCTGACCATCTTTTAGGTCAACGCATGTGCCACGTTTTGTCTACTAAATTGAGAAGGGGACATGGATTAGATCGTGCTTTTTACCCTAATCCCAACATGGTGGCTTAGCCTTTGTTTAGGTGACCTCACACGTAATTTTGGACATTCTATTATAATGTGATTGTCTCATGCCTAATATTGGAGAAGTTAGTTTGTATTGTGAAATAATTGACCCTTTTTCTAGGGCCCAATAAAATTATACCAGTACAATTACCATATATGGAACGAAGATTAATATTTCTAGAACGAAAATCTTAGATGGACAAATTATATTGAATAACAACTATATAATATCGTAATATTCATTATACAATATTGGTTTGATCTTCATAAATACTTAGGCTCACCTTTATGAGGTGTCCATACATGGTTAGTAATGAGCTAGTGGCCTTGGAGTGATTCGTT